GCTAGAATCGCGCTTTTTCAGTAAAAATTGTAAATTCAGTATCGGATAGACCATAATAGAAATGCATGAAATTGACTGTTCGCAACTTTGCACATACTTAAAATCAAATTTGGAGGCTACGTACGAGTTTTCCAGTAAATGTTGAGTGGGAAACTCGATGTGTAAACGTCAATCGTAATTACATTGGTACCAAGTTACAATCCGTGTGGGAGCAGGAGAAACGATTCCAATACGCCGCCCGGATCTCCTCGGGACCTACTATGCATTGACATTTCACCGTTAATTAATTTCTACAAACACTTTCTTATCCTAAATATTATCCCTCAAAAAACCTTACGCCTATTATAGGTACCAAATGTTATTTTTTAAATTAGAATATTTAAAAACTGTCTCCGGGTACCGAGGAGATTATGTTCCAAAGATTCGGAACTCCCACGGTGGATTAAAAAAAAAAACCTTAATATCTCTAAGTCGATCGTAAAATCCTTCATGGCTGATAAAGACTTCCAAACTCCTATGTTTTCCTGGCCGTCGTTTCCGCTAGCCATTGTACCGACAAATAAGTTAGTTGATTATGCAATGGGAGTCTTACTAAAACAACCTTGGAAAGTTGTTTTTGACCAAAATGATGCTAATATTTGGATATAACTCAAACAACATTCTGTACCTATTTTACCCTTATTTACTTTGAAGAGAAAAAACATATTTACGAAACTGTCATAATGAGGCAGCAAAGATTTTTCTGCCAAAAACAAATAAGTATATCGTTCATTTAATGGTATATTTATAATATGTGGTAGATTTATTTATAGTAGTGGTCGAGTTAATTTTGTGATCGGTAGACTTATTGATGGTTCGCGCAATCGTAGACTTATTTATAGTAGTGGTAGATTTATAATATGTGGTAGACTTATTTATAGTGTTCGCACAATCGTAAACTTATTTATAGTAGTGGTAGATTTATAATATGTATTAGATTTAATTATAGTTGTGGTAGAGTTAATTTTGTGAACGGTAGACTTATTGATGGTTCACGCAATCGTATACTTATTTATAGTGCTGGTAGATTTATAATCTGTGGCAGACTTATTTATAGATGTGATAGAGTTAATTTTGTGAACGGTAGATCTATTGATAATTCGCGCAATCGTAGACTTATTTATAGTACTGGTAGATTTATAATATGTGGTGGAGTTAATTTTGTTATCGGTAGACTTATTGATGGTTCGCGCAATCGTAGACTTATTTATAGTAATGGTAGTTTTATAGTATGTGATAAACTTATTTATAGTTGTGGTAGAGTTAATTTTGTAAACGGTAGACTTATTGATGGTTCGCGCAATCGTAGACTTGTTTATAGTGCTGGTAGATTTATAATATGTGGTAGAATTATTTATAGTTATGGTAGAGTTAATTTTGTGATCGTTAGATTTATTGAAAGTTCGCGTAATCGTAGACTTATTTATAGTACTAGTAGATTTATAATATGTGGTAGACTTATTTATAGTTGTGATAGAGTTAATTTTGTGAACGGTAGACTTATTGATGGTTCGCGCAATCATGGACTTATTTATTGCACTGATAGATTTATAATATGTGGTACACTTATTTAYAGTTGTGGTAGTGGTAGATTTATAATATGTGGTAGACTTATTTATAGTAGTGGTAGATTTATAATATGTGGTAAACTTATTTATAGTAGTGGTAGAGTTATTCAATAAAAGGTAAAATCGTAATTACAATTCATCTTCTCCACACGACCCAGCTTCTCTCAAACCCTAACTATAGCCGCCAGCCACCTTTTAACTCGTTTTTACTGTATTTTAATTCGTTTTCAACTGGATTTAGCCTAAAACTAATAGATCTACCATCATATATCATTTTTCTAACCAAAAATCAAAAGATTTTTTCATCTTCTGATTTTTAATCTGATTTTACCTAAATCTCGACGGCATACCATCGTCAAACGCGTATCCGGCGCCTTCGCAACCTCATGGACCGCGGTTTCGAACAAAAACATCACAAAAATTTCGATTTTAAAAATAAAAATAAATTCATAATGACATTCTTGTAACAAAAAGATTTTGTGATGGTTATAATGTCTTTTAAGACCTTTGTTAGATTTTTCATTTGTTTGAAATTTTTTTTAGTAATTAGGGAATTTTCCAAAGTTGTTTTAGTAATTAATCCTATAAAATACTACTATATTGAATGCAATACCATGTTCGCCAGAAGTTAATTAGTTCTATATTATAAAATGTATTTTTTTAACGTTATAATTTTATTATTATTTATTATAAATTATGAGAATTACAACGAAAAAATCTTTCATCTTTAAATATATTTATATAAAATATTTTAAAGTAAAGTATCTCCTACACATTTTTTGGGTAATTATCTTAATTATTTGTAACTTAAGAAATGATTTTGAATAAAGTATAGTTTTTAACCAATATTTAAAATTAAAAAAAAATCTCTAGACAAAAATGGAAGGTAACATATTTTAGTTATGATGACTTATCCAATCAAAATCTACCGAATCATATTTTTAGTTTGTTTTTTTATAAAATTTTCATTGGTTTTTATATTTTAAATTTCATAATTTTATCCAAAATAATTAAACAGAAATAATGCTAAAGAGAATAAATAGTTTATTAGTTTTTGATGACTCGTCGTATTGATCATAACCAAACAGTGCTAACCTTCTCAATACCAAAACAAGAAAAAAACGGTTTTCTACCAATTCTGTCATTAAATCTAGATTTATATTCCTGTTTTGAAAAATAGTGAAATTGGTAAATATAATTAAGTAATATAAGCTTTCCATATATCTTTCCCGCTAATAATTTGATAAATATTCTGAAAGATTACAAGATTGATTGCATATAAATACCAACCAAAGCAAATAAAGATTCTGCAAGAGTACAATGTACTGTATAAAGCTAATTCTCTCACCGTCCTCATGCAAACAGTTTTTGGACTAATTCTAAAGAAAGAGAAAGAGAAAGGAACGATTCTTTGTTGAGTTGTTTCTTCCCAAGAATCAAGGGCTCTCCTGATTTTACTCTGATACAAACCATATCTCTCCTAATTCTACTTTCCATTTCTCTATTCACAAATCTTTTCTTCCCTTATTTTCCCCGGATTTTCCGTTTTCGTCCAACCAATGCTGCAACAACTCATTCTCTATCTTGCAAGACC